TATGTATGTATGTATGTATGTATGTATGTATGTATGTATGTATGTATGTATGTATGTATGTATATAAATAAATAATTCGTTCATTATTTTTGTTGGAAAAATGGCACAAGCTATGGGATCGTCTAAAATTTGCTTTTAAGCAACTCCCAGCCCATTTTTTGAGATGACACCGCTGTTGTTGGCGTTTTGCAATTTCCAAGTACCTACACCTTCCAAAAATAGTAATGGCAGAGAGATTTCTGTTTTGGTTTATTCCTCGTCGTACCAAAAAAAAAACAGAAAAGTATACAACCTCCAACATTCCTGTTCGTGCTGACCGATTCAACCATTAGAGTCCATATTCCACGTGGATCTTCACCCCATGTTTGCACGGACAGAAACGGCCATTTATGGAAACCACTTGGATTGAAATCCTTAATAAATTTTGCATCACAACAGCTGTTAGTTATTTGAATTTAATGTTAAAATTAAAAGTTTCGGTTGCTATCAGATATTTGTTAAAATCAATAATTTTGGATTTAATATTAAAAAAATTAATAATTCCACTGTTTTTCAAGATATTACAGCAGTAAATCAATGAAATTCATCGGAAGTGAGGAGGAAAAAAAGTAACCTGTGGACGAGGCGGCAGCAAGACGGATGAGGTTCCGCGGGGTGAAAAAAGTGTCAGTTTCAAATCACCACGTTTACCAAATCGTATTGTTGCCAGTACTTGTACATGTTCGAGATAGAGGACTGGTGTGCCCGATTCACAACCACTTACTTCCAGGGAAAAATTCATTTGAAAATTTCCCGTTAACGGCCGTGGACTGAAAAAAAAAAGTTAAGACTGAGGCAAATTACACTAACATAATCTTTTATATTCCATTTTCTCTTAGCACAATTATAACCAAACCACAACCGTGGCACTGACCAGAATTAGTTGTGTAATGGGAAGAAATGTACAGGACTTGTTGGGCCGAAATCTTTCTTTTCAGTTTTACAGTTAAAATTTCCACAGTAAAAAAAAGACACGCTTTCTTTAATAGTCTACGGAATTGTCTCTTTTTTTTTCAATTTTTCGATAAAACCACTCTAAAAGAGTATCATCATTGGTTCTACTAATAAGTCCATCGCATTCCAATTCCAATTATTTCGATATTTCCGGCTGCATTCTTCCAGTAAGTTGCTAATTCGGGAACCAGAAAAGCGAGAAGCAAAAATTTTGAGGGGATGTTTCTGACAGTCGTGATGGTCAGTCTCAATTCTTTTAGCTAGAAGCATCTGCCGGAAAAAAAACATTACCGCTACGACAAAACCTGCGGGAAACTGTACAAAAAAACGCATCATTACAACGGCAGTCGGTGTGCGGACCGATTATTTTTCCATGCGACCACACTGACATCCTGCACGCCAAAAAAAGGATTATCAAAACTCTAAAAAGTACTTCGGTCTTTCCAGCTTATAATCGTATGTGCACATATGTTGTTCCGGTACCGTCGTCCAAATTTGTGCAAGCCTTACAAGTGCTTCCGCATCCATCAGTCCGTATCCAAATTTGTTATTAATCCGTCGACCAACACCGTTCACTGACCAGCCTGGATTGTTTAGCAGTGGCACTGGATTTGCTGTTCGCAAAACAATATGTTGCATATCACGCCATGTTAGATTTGGGCTGAAAATAGAAGGAACAATTGAAAAGTATGAAGGATTCGCAACCAATTCAGAAACACACGAGAAAAAAGTTTTCACGACTACTTCGTTTAGTAGCATAGAATTTACCCAAAGTACGTAAACGAAACGAAGAGGAATACCAAGTGAGTATGAGTAAAAACAGATGAACAAAGAGAACTGCTGAACCGCAATCAGAAGAACTGACGGAACTGAGAGATCCGTTCAGACACCGGTATATAGACCTCAGAACAGTCCAGTTACAAATGCACGTTACACTGCTGTCCGGTAGTGGCGATGAAAATGAAGATAACGATGACAGAAATGATTATACAAATTAACAGCTAACATACAAGTAATGACTGTTGATAGTATAATAATTAAAAATATAATAGTTAACAACAATGTAACGGTTAATAAAAATGTAACAGTTAATCATGACATAATGGCTAATAATAGCGCATTAGTTAATAGTAATACAAAACTTAAAAATAAAGTGCCTATAATATAATACTTAATAATAAAATACTCAATAATGTAATACTTAATAACATAATATTTAATAATATAAAACTTAATAATATAATACTTAATGATATAATACTTAATAATATAATACTTAATAATATATTACTTAATAATATAATATTTAATAACATAATACTTAATAATGTGATACCTAATAATACAATATTTAATAATATAATACTTAATAATATAACACTTAATAATATAACACTTAATAACACAAAACATG